AGCAGGAAACTCTCCTCACACTCACCGGACCTGGGCTAGGACTGGGTCTCGTGCCCATTAATTGTAAAATGGGTAAAATATATTGTGGTGTATCCACTCAGTGGAATATGATAATGAATAAAAACCCACAAACAACTGTTACATGTTCAAAATGGACAAATCTCAAATATCTAATTCCTGAAAGAAGTCAGATAGAAAAGAATCCAGAGTTCATAACCCATGGTGTTAAAGTCAACACAGCAGGTTATCTTTTGGAAGGTGGGAACTGTAAGGAGCATGAAGCAAGCTTCTACAGAACAAGTGACATTCTATTTCTTAATCTGCATGATGGTTACATAGTTGTGCTCACTTAATGAAAATTCACTGACTCATACACTTAGGATTTAGGTATGTACTTGTCTGTACCTATAACTCAAAAAACTTTAAGAACGGTAACAAAAATAGTATGATATTCCAGAAATAAACCTGATGAAAGACCTGTAGAAATATTTCTGGAGAAAACTTGACAACACAAGAATAAATCTCACATAGAAGAGCAAAATGAAAAGGAACTATATGTATAATGGGGAAGGGGACTTGTACCAGTAGATTCAAAAGCTTATGACAGCGATACACGCAGTAAGAAATTCAATGCAAGGAGATGAGCAGTTCGATGAAAACAAGAGCTCAGAAACAAAGCACATGAAGAACCTGACATACAGCAGAAAGGTCATTACACAGCTGAAATAAATAGTATGTCCAAACTTTGGGGTCCTGCCTGGGCATACTGAGTCAAGAAAAATTGTCTTGGTCACACATAAAATGAATAATACAGTTCATACACTAAGTAATAAAACATCATTTTTAAAATATTTGTTATTGGGTGCCAGGGAGCTAGCTCAGCAGAATAAGCACTTGCCTGGCAAGCGCAAGGGCCTGAGTTCAATCCCTGATTCCGCAAAAAAAATAAACACATAAATAAATAAATAAATAAATAAATACTTGTTATTATAAGATTGAAAACAGACAAACAAGAGATCAACCATGTTTGGACCACAGGTTTGACACCACAAGGACAACAAATGACAGTGACACAACTTAGGAATTTTATGGAAAAATAAATCTAAAATTTGGGCCAGCAATATAGCTCAGTGGCATCCGTACCTTCCTGGCAAGTACAAGGTCCCAAGTTCAATCCCCAATACCGCACACACACACACAAAAAACCCTAAAATTAGATTTCTTAATTGACACCATATTCAGAAATAAATTCTCTCTCTCTCTCTCTCTCTCTCTCTCTCTCTCTCTCTTTCTCTCTCTCTCTCTCTCTCTCTCCCTTTTTTTTTAAGAAATAAATTCTCTTGGGACAAAAAGGATTCCTTTTTGTTTGGTTTTGTTTTTTTGAGACTGGGTCTCACAGTGTAGTGCAGGCTGGAGTTTAATTCATTATGTAGCCCAGGCTGGCCTCAAATTTGCAGTGATCCTCCTGCCTTTGCCTCTTGAGTGCCAGGATTATAAGTGTGAACCACCATATCTGACTTGGGACAAAAATTTTTCTTTTCTTTTCTTTTTTTGTGTGTATATGTGTGCCAGGGATCAAACTCAGGACTTATACTTGACAGGCAAGCACAATGAGCTATCTTCCTGGCCAAGAAGAATTTCTTGCAGAAGACAAAAAACACAAATGATAAAGGAAAGGAATGACTACATTAAAACTTATTTTTAACAAAGTAAAAAGCAAAACAAGGTATATGCAACACAATCAAAGGACTAGTATTACTAATATAAAGACTCCAATAAAAATTTTTTCAAACGTTAAATAACATGGAAGGTGAGGCAGAAAGATCACTGCATGTTCGAGGCCAGCTTGGGCCACATTGTTAGTCCAAGGTCAGCCTGGACTATGCTGCAAGACCTTGTCTCAGAAAAATAAAAGTCAAGGGGCCAGGGAGATAGCTCAGTGCCTGAGTTCAAGCCCTGGTTCTGCAAAAAAAAAAAAAGAAAAAAGAAAAGAAAAGTCAAACTACTAACTTTTTAAGGAAGCAATCGAGGATGACAATACTGAATAACCCACAGAATATGAAAAAATGCTGCTTACTATCCAGTTAGGGTCTAGTGTTCAGAAAACTGCAATATTTGAGACAACAGCAGGCCCAAGTTTCTAGTTCTTCCATTAACATAACTATGGGCAAACTTTTTTACTAATGAAATGTACCTAAGTTTCCTCATTTTTACTAATGAAATGTACCTAAGTTTCCTCATTTTAAAGTGCAAAATCAGGATTCAGTAGATTAACTATAAAGATTTTTTTTCACTGGAAAATTAAATTTCTTCAATGCATAAGGATACAGATCAAATTAATAAATGTTGGGAACTTTAAAACATAATACAACATACATATTAAATATTATTACTATTATCACTCAACAGAATATAAGTCTTCTAAAGCATTAATGCTCTCAGTAACTTGTAAATTTTCCTAATAACAAAAAGGAACATGAAACTAGAAAAGGAAAGTTAGTGGGAAAATATGAACAGCATATTTCTAGCAGTATCCTTTAGAATGGATTATATGACCCACCACTAACAATAAGTGGGCTGTGTAATAATTTTCTGTCACTCCTTGATTCATTTAACAAAACTGTTGAATGCACACTATATGTCAGGCTCTGTCAGGTACACTATAACAAAGGAACAGATGCTTTCTTCATTAGGTCCTACATGGAAGCCAGGTAACAATAATCTTATGATTAATTAATTAATTACTGCTGTTCTAAGTACATCAAAGATAAAAAAACAGTGTGCATGAGTGCCTGCAACAAGGGACATGACCTAGTCTAAGAGGTCAGGGAAGGCTTCCCTGAGGAAGTAGCATTTAAGCTGAGACCTGCAGTACGTCAAAATCTCATTCTTGGATGACACAAGCCATTAAGATCATCCATCTAAATCCTTGGCTCTAATACCTCTTTACCTTCTGGTTTTAATTATACATTCAACAAGCATCTTCCTATAAGGAAAGAATATGTTGATCCTTGCCACAAGCATTCTGGTTTGCTTGGTACTTGTGCTTGTAATTTTAAAACTAAAAGAAATAAACTAGGCATTTTCTAAGCCATCAAGAAAATACATAAGCTATAATGGTAATAAGAAAACAGGCCTTGGGTTCTAATGTAGTATTACTGTGACTTTTTAAGCTAATCAACTAAACTGAGCAAGGCACTATTTCATTATGTGGACAAAAGGAGAATTCACTACATCTCTCCTTTCTGTTTGCTTTTTTGAGGCGGGGTATCACTATGCCGCTCAGACTGGCCTCAAACTCACTGTGATCCTCCTCCAGGTTTAGCCTCCCAAGTGCTAGGATTACAGGTGTGCACCACCACACCCAGCAGAAATTTAGCACATCTCTGAGAACAACACTTATGATAAATCAAGGTCTAACTATAAGGGGTAAAGAAGGGGAGAAGGTCATTAAGTCTATACCTTTGGCTTTCTTGGTTGCAAAAGAGCGAATTGGTAGGACCTGATAAGCCATGTGCTGGCTACGGTCAGGCTGTCTTCCACTCACTGTCTTCAGTGCAATTTCTGAAACAGGTCTGACCAAGACTCCAAGGTAATTACAAGCAGGGTAGATCAAACGGAAGCATTTTAATCCCAAGGCCATGACTAAAAACAATCCTTGTGAATACCTGTGAAAAGAGTAAGACAAATAGGAGATGCCAAGTAAGACACCACTGCAACTTCAGAAAATCATGTGTATCGATTAACAAGCAACTCCTATAAACAGAGTTAAGTACTAGGCAATTTAAATACATTATCTCTAATTCTTCTTCTGTCATAGAAGGAAATATTAGCCTTATTTCATGGGACTAAAAAACTCTGAACCCCAAGTTTTTGCCCCTACACCAAATTAAGCAAATGAGCACCATCTAAATCTTCAATGATGCTCATTTAACTCCTATATAAGGAAAAGCAGTTTTAAAAGGGAAAGCAGGGCTGGGGAGATAGCTCAGTGGAGTAAGTGCTTGCCTGGTAAGCACAAGATCCTGAGTTTGATCCCTGTACCATAATAAATAAATAATAAAATAAAAGAGAAAGCACAGCACAAGAGGACTTTAAACAAGAAAACCATTTCAACAGGCAGAAAATGATTGGAAAATTTACACAACGGCATTTAATTAAATTTTTCTTTGGTTCCTTATGGAACCAAAAGAATACACTAATATTACCAATTAGAATACACTTTGTGAGACTGAAGCATAATTGCGTTTTGAGGTCCTCCATGGTATTGAACTAAAGCTCTGGAAAATGCCACCCTCCACTGGCTTAATATAAGTTACATGTCATATTTCCGAGATCTTTGACCATGGAAAGATGCTACAGCCTACAACTACCTTGGATAGAACACAGTCCTAGCTGACAAATGTTAACACTAATAACTTCTGACAGGAATCTGGCTATCATTCTGCTGAAAATTAAGAACCATCATCATCAAATATCTGGAAGTTGCTATCTTTGAAAGTCAGTGCCACACCTCATAAAAAAATAATCCCCTCCTAAAATTTTGAAGCAGTATGATAAAGTGAATAAAAGTGCAAATCGTGCAGCAAAGGAATGGCAGGATCCAATCCCAGCTCCACCACTGACTAAATGCTCTTGAGTATCTCTGGATTTTGACATCCTCTATTGTAAAATGAGAATAATTATACTGATTAAGAGTTGGGGGAAGAAAAAGAGTTGGGAATAATGACATCAGGCAGGTAACATTTGACACAGTGCCTATACACATCAGGAAGCTAAAATCTACTGGCAGCTATTACCCTTCCTTTCAAACATTCATGCCAAACATAATAAATTGCATAAATGTCATTATTAGTGTATAAATGGCCTAGAGTCAGATTAAAGGCAAATCATCACCTTGGGGAATTCATTCTTCCTTTCTGGGCATTACTTTCTAGCTCAAGAAAAAAGTAACTCTGACCCTAAAATACTGAATCCATATAAAACATCTAGCCAAGAGCCTGGACTATGGTAATGACTTAATAAATGTGGTAGCCACTTTATTTTTTTTAAAGGAAAGCAAACTAGGGCTGGTGAGATAGCTCAGTGGACTAAAGTGCCTGCTTAGGCAAGCATAGGGACCATAGTTCAATCCCTGGGCAGCACATGCTGTGCCAGCCCCGCCACTAGGGTGGTCTGGGCTGGCCACAGAGTCCAGCTGTAGATGCGTATGCCTATAATCCCAGCACTGGGAAGGCTAAAAACAGGAGGAGGATCACTATGAGTCTGAGCTGCATAGTGAGACCCTGTAACAACCAAATACATTTTTTAAAAAAGGAAAGCAAACTAGTAGACATAAATAATTTCTATCAACAGAATTCCTAATAGCAAGTGATGTTAAGACAGTTCATAAATACTGTAAACATAGATTTGGAGGAATACTGTTTCTCTTCAATTATTATCAATAACTACTGAGATGAGGCTGGGCTACTTGCTTAAAACATATTATTTCATTTAATCCTATCAATAATGCCATAAAGAAAATACAATAACGCCCCACCTTAAAGAAAATAAATAACCCCCACTTTATAGATGTTGAAACTAAGGCTCAAAAAGATTATTACTATCCAAGGATTTAGAGTTAATGACCCAACCAGCCCTACTTAAGCAAAAGCTTGGCTGAAAGTGAGGGGTTTGTGTTGTTGTTTTTGTTTGTTTTTTTTTTTTCTTTTTTAACCAGGGATCGAACTCAGGACCTTGCACTTGCCAGGCAAGCACTTATTCCACTGAGCTATCTCGCCAGCCCAAAGTGAGGTTTCTGTATCTAGGTTTTTGCTTAATATAGCCAACGTCTAATTCACACTTATATCCAAATATGGCTGTATAATAATCTGTAGTGAGTTTTTTTCTCATCTACAGTGTCACAATCTGGCTGCTCCATTTATGGCAGGTTTCCTGGTGCTCCTGTTGGTTATAATACCCACCTACACAGCAACAGGAAATCAAAATGGGTTAGAAATAAACAATCTTTGGCAGAAAATACAACACCCAAGAACAGACCCAGTACACGTGAACCGGAAGACAATTCTATAAATAAACCACATTACTGAAATGCTTAAGGCATGGATTTTAATTGCACAAAAATTAGGAAATTTTAAAGTGGAAGTTTAGTAAAGGCAAGTTAGTCCCTTGGACTTTTTACCCCAAGGACTTAACACTTTAACATTCAGCTCAGCACAAATGAAGAATTAAAGCTTGGAAAAGAAACTTGCTATGAGAGCCCATTTATTATCCAGCAAAAGTAACCTACACATGGAAGCAATGTGGCATAAGTGTATGAACATTAGATTAGATCGAAGTCTAAACCTGGAAGCTGTTCCCCTGCTTACTAGATGCTTACTAGATACATGAGTTTGAGCACATATCACTTAGACTGTCTGAGCTAGCTTCCACCACTCAGATAAGATAGCCTGGGTCTGTGCTTTTATCCAATATATTATGTATATAAAACAGTATATCTCATATGCAGTAAGTAATGTCGTATTATCCCAACTGTTAAAATATTTTTAAACTATCTAAAACACACATTCTTCTACCAAAGCCGAGGTCTCAAAACTTGAATTTTCCTGTTCTTCACAGAAGGTGCATTTTAATGTTGGAAAGAAACAGATAAGGAACCTAAGTCCTGGCTTGACCCACTGTCCCAGCATCCACTCCCAATGCAGTATTAACTTCCAATATGTACATTTTTATAAGTGAGTACGCATATAGAGGATCTTGGATATAAAATACTTTCACATGTGTTACTGTAATTGATTACCATCTTTATTTCACTAAATAAAGCTGATCCTTTATTTCTGCAAGGATTCCTCCTGCTCCAAGGTCTTCAAACACACAGCTGAATCTTCTTGGAATGCTCTTTCCTTGCCTCTTTACTTCCTATTCTTGCCACCATTTCTTCAGAGCATGCCTTCCTGTCCACAGCCTCCAACCAAATGAGGTCATGTGTCCCGTAACCCATCATAGCACTGTGGACTTCATCACAGCACTTCATTTTTAGCAACACAACATATGTGTATTTAATAATTCTAAATCTTGCAAGACTGAAGTACTACAAACCCTATAGTAACCCTCCCTGCTGTATCATCCATGCCACCCAAATTGCAAAAGCATTTGTGGCAGCTCCAACTTGCCCCTGGCTTACAACTTACACCATCGTTTTTTTCTGTCTAGGTTTTGTTTTCTCAACTATAACGGGGTCAGACGGGTTTTCATGCATGTCAACTACAAAGCTCTGCAAGATTCTGGGAAATAATATGGTTGCAGGAAAGAGCCCTAAACCTAGGAAGACCTCGAGAAGAGCTCTGTTCCTAGCAACTTCCTTAGACTAGTCAAACTCTCTAAACCTCAGTCTCACCTGTAAAATTTGTCTGGCTTATGTAAACAGAAACATATCAGTGAAATGGCAACTGTTTTCCAACTGGACAACACAAAATAGCGGTTAAAGTTCAGGCTTCAAAGTCTGATCTAGGTTTGCATTTAAGCTCCATCACTTATTTAATGGCTGCGTGGCCCCGGTAAAATTATCTCTGCGCTTCCGTTTCTTCATTATGGGGAATAATAATACCTACTCCCTTAGGACTGCTCTGAAAATGAAATGTTCCTGTCAGATGGTGTGTTACTAAATATTAGCTACTATTTAGAAAGTCCCTGGGCATTCCCTAAATTCCTAGCTAGTGAGACAAGCTCCGCCCCCGCCCTGTGAGACTTGTTCAAGGCCACAAGCCCAGCCTTAAGGTCAGACTGGACTTTAAAGGGACGATTCCAGGGAGGGTGTCCGACCCCTGAGGCCCCCCAGAAATTCTTGAATGAGAGTCTCCCCGCACGAACCTCCGGACACCTCGAGGCCACTCACCAGCTATCGCCCAGGTTACTAAGGGGAAGCCTCGTGCGACGACGGGGACGACGTCGGCGCGGGCGTCATGACGTCACGGGGCGGGGCGGCGGCGCAGGCGTAGCGCATCACGGGCGGCCTGGCAGCTGGCGGAATCCGCACTGACGCTTCTAGTCGTCCTTCGGCCCCGGCGTCGGAACTTGCTTTGGGGGCATGAGCAGAGGGCAGCACACCGAGGCCACAAGGTGAGTCCGGTCGCGACGTGTCCCTGCCGCTAACGCCAGCCCGGCGAGGAAGGCTTCACAGAGACTGCGTTTGTAGGACGGCTTTCAGGCTCCGCCCCGGATTGTCCGGCTTCTGGCCCGGAAATAACAACCCGAGTAATGACCCGTAGCCTCTGGGGATTTGCTGCCAGGAATTGGGAAGCCGGGGTTCCAGGCTTGACCCCGCTGTTCTCTTCTAGGAACAGATGCCTTTGCTTCTCTGGACTAGTTTCCCCAGTGAGCCTTCCTGGCTTCTAGGGTTCTTGCAGTTTAAAAGGGAGGAGAGGTGGAAAAGCATTTTGTGAACTGTTAAGCAAGAGGTTGTCTCCGTTGTAGACCCAGAGGACTTTGATAATCGCATGATCTTTTACTGTACTTCACCTTTCCTCAGAAAGTCCTATTTCTGGACTGTCATCAAGCTGTCACCAGTATAGTCTTAAGACAAAAACGATCTCATGAAACAGGAATAATTCTACCCATTCTAGAAAAAAAAAAAAAAAGATGAAAGCGAGGTTCCCAGTGAAATGGCTTGCTTCATTTATTCACTCATTCACAGTAAACATTGAGCTCCGCCTTAGAGCCAGGCTGATGCAGGTAGAACCATGATCTAGATTACAAGGGCCTCCCCTCTTGAAGCTTGCATTCTAGAAGGAAACAAAATAAAATATTAAAGAACTCATTGGATTATATTGGAAGCAAAAAGGGATTGTGATCGAGAGTAGCAAGAGGCTCTGCTGTGGTAGGGAAACCGTGTGGGGGGGGGTACTTAAAGGAAATCTTGTGACTTGCTAATGTCTCACAACTAAGTACCCATGTCAGGGCATGAATGCAGATTTCTTTGCCCCCAATTCTGCATTCTTCACATTAAAACAGAGTACCTTTTGGGAGTATGTAATAGTTTTTGGTATTACTGATATTTTTAGGTATGAGAAAATCAGAAGTTCCTATCATTTAAATCTCGTGTCATCTCCCTTTTCTGTCACTGCAAAGTAGGCCAGCTTAGTGTCACATCACCTTGCTTATTTGTTTTTGCAGCATTCATCGCTGATTACATCTTACTTCTTTTGCTTTTGTTTTGTCTTGCTCACCTTCCAAATGTAAGCATTCTTCACTGTTGTGACCCCAATAATGAATTAGAAGATGCCTAGAAAGTTCAAAATCAGATTTGTTTAAGTGATTGACCTGTTAGAAAGGAATTAGCAATTTGTAATTGCTTGACACACATTGCTAAATAAAGATGTGAGTGGAAAAGAAGGACAGGTACACTTATGTGCAAGACACAGATAAATGTGTAAATTTGTTCCAGCAGTTAACTTAGGGACTGCTGTGTGCTAGACTTTATAGGGTGTGCCAGGATGAATAGGAAGTGTTAATATATGCAAGCTTCTGTTGAGACACAGTTCCTGCGGTACCCTAGGACACTTTTGAATATGTAGGGCACATGTGTTTCCCCAGCAGAGTGTTCTAAAGTCTGGCACAGCTAGCTGTCTTTCAACGCCATTATCTTTTCTGTTTGATCGTGTTGTGCATCTATTGAAGTGTTATTTTTTTATTCATTATCCCATTTTTGGTCTACTCGGCAAACATTTTAGAAATAGAACAAAGTTTAAAAATGAAGAAGGTGATGCTTAGAGAAAAATGACCTCCAGTAGAAATGCTTAGGTTGGAAAGTAGGTGTAACACCAAGATTTCTGCCTTTTTTTTCTTTTTTCTTTTAATTTGGAGACAAATCTAAGTTACGCAGACTGGGCGCCTCCTTTAGGTTTCCAGAGTGCTGGGGTTATAGGCATTTGCCTATAGTCCATGTCCACCATGCCCAGCTTTTCTGCTCTTTCCATTACTGTCTGCGAAATAACTCTCTCATTTTCCTTGTCTTTGAGATGAACAATTTCGGGAACTGAGACTAGCAGTCATTTGTCAGCCTTAAATGCTTCCCAGGTGTCACTTGCTTTCCTAAATGGTTCAGGAGTGTTAACTTGGTGTATCTGCAGAACTTCATGTGTCTTTAGCCCCATTGTACGATGAGGAAACCAAGAAAATGCTAACCTGTCCAAAGTCATGTAACAAGCAAATGGTAGACCTGGAATAATTTAGGAAGAAATTGGTCTCTTCCTCCTAATCTCTCCCAAAATAGTAAACATGAGAATAGCTAGTATACATTGATAATTTGCTGTTTTCAGGTACAGTGGTTAATGATTTTTTTCGTGTGCTATCTTTAATTTTTACAGTTACCCTATAAAATAGAACTATTGTCTTCAATTTATCTTTGAAGAAACTGACCCCTACAAAGTTCAAATAATTCACCAAGTCACACAATCTGCTTTCAAACGCAGCTCTGACTCTGAAACTTGTTGATTGATTTCCTGGTGGTAGATTTATGTACATGTGTATGTTTGTTGTTTTGGGTTTGTTTTGTTTTAGTGGTTATAAATTTTTTTTTTTTTTTTCCAGAACTGGGGATCGAACTCAGGCCCTTGCCTTTGCCAGGGAAGCGCTTATTCCACTGAGCCATCTCCCTGGCCCAGTGCTGAATATTGATTGTAAGGCCTCTCACATGCTAGGCCAGCACCCTACTACAGAGCTGTGTTCTCAGCCCTGTGAATCAATTTCCTGGGTTGTCTCTTCCTTTGTTGTATTGCCTGTTCCATAAGGACAGGTGATCCACTGCTGCTGGTCCCTGCCTATCCGTTTCACTGCCATTGAGACGTTCTTCCTCATGATTTCCGTGGCTTATTTTGGGTAACAGTTGTTCATCTGGAGTGCCAGGTAGTAATAGAGACTTTGGCCTCTTGCCTAGTCAGCTTCTAGCTTCAGAGGAGGAAAGCTTGAGTTTCTCCACGCAGCTATGCCTCTTTCACCTTAAATGGCAGCTTATGTGTTGGCTTCTAGAATAGCTGTCCTCAGGGAACTGGTTCTGGGGCCCTAGACTAGCCAGCGGACATACTCATCTTAGATAACGTTTGCTAGGTTGAATTTGAGGTATTGTATCCACGTAGAGTCTTCCTCTGTCTGAATGTTATGTTGTCTTTAGTTATTCATAGAGATTGATGGAAGCAGAAACCAAAACTCTTCCCCTGGAGAACGCATCCATCCTTTCAGAGGGCTCTCTACAGGAAGGACACCGATTATGGATTGGCAACCTAGATCCCAAAATCACAGAGTAAGTCCAAGTCACCTTAATTCATTCCCTACAAATTTGGGATGTTTGCAGTGATGATGTTTGAAAGAATGTTCAAGCAATGTAGAATATATTTTAATCTTTTCATTTATGTTTTATCTTTGAGAGGGGTAATGTTATTAGCTTGTTGTCTTGTCTATTTTCTTACATCTGTACTCTGCTATTGTAAGGACACAGTCTTTAGTATCCTTTAAACACATGGCTCTTTTTTTCATACTTACCAAAGATGTTCTGCAACACTGAGTCCTTCAACTCAATGGACCCAGAAAATTGTTTTTTAGAATCAGCCTTGAGTATTTTTTTCTCCCACAAGGGACAAGCAGAAGTCTCAGTACCTTTACAACCAGGCAAAGGAGTACTACTTAACTAATTCCTGTAAGCAGCCACAGAACCTTAGAAGGTGAGACTTGGAAGGGATCTTAGATCTTACGCCAGTACCTTTGGTTTTCATTTTCATTAAATGATTTGGGTATCTAGCCAAGTGCTGTGCTGAACAATTTTCAGACATAAAAATAACCAGAGCAGGACCAACAAGATAGCTCAGTAGACTAAATGCCTGCTTAAGCAAGAGCAGGAACCAGGGTTGAAGCCCCATGCCGGCCCCACCTCCAGGGCACACTGAGACAGCGATTGAGACTAGGCATGGTGGTGTGTACCTGTAATCCCTGCACTTGCGAGGGTGAAAACAGGAGGATCACTGCAAGTCCGATCTATGTAGTAAGACCCTGTACTAAATACATTAAAAACAAAAAAGAAGCTTTTTCCATCATCTAAAATCTGAGCCACGAGATATGCTCCCAGGAGTGGTTTCCATTCCCACCTCTCTCCTGGAATGGAAAGCTGAAGCATGGAAATAGTGTTTTTGTATTGGCTGCATTTCTCCTCATGAGACCTTGTGCTAATGGTGTCCTGCTGCTCACCAGGAAGGTTCAGATGGCACGTATTTATCAGAAAGGCTCAGGATGGTGCAGCTTATGCCATGAATTGGAATGCATGGATCAAAGCTTGCCTGCTAATACTGCTGGTCTTTTTCCATGAGACCGAAGGTGGACATCAAGTAGCAAACCGCTGTGGATCGAGGCCTTGCTGGCCAGAAGTGCTTGCATTCTACTTATAGAATCCCCACTTCTGTACCACCAAAAACCATTTTTGCTACTTTTTTTTGTAGATTCCTTGCCTCAAAACATTTTGTCAACCAAACAGATTCATTATATACTAATTAATTTATTTTTAGAGATGTAAACACAAATCACAGCTTATGGTTAACATTAAAGGTTTAGTATTACTTCATTTAATTTACTTAATCATAGCAGATAAGCCTAACATTTTAGTAAGGCAAGTCTGTGGAAAGATAATTTCCTTCCAAGCTGTTGAAATATTTTGGATCTTGCTCTTCTTAGGGTACATAATGGTTAACCTAGTAAATAATTAAAATACAACTATTCCCCCAAATTGGAGGCTTGCAAGCTCTAGTTTATTTTTATTTTATTTTTTAATGTATTTTGGTTGCTACAGGGTCTCATTACACAGCTTGGACTCATAGTGATCCTCCTGTCTTCAGCCTCCCCAGCACTGGGATTACAGGTGTACTATGCCCAGATTCTGTGGCCGGCTCAGCCCACTCTGGTGCAACATGTGCCAGGAATGGAACCTCCATCCCTGCGCTTTCGTCCACTGAGCTATCTCACTGACCCCTGCAAGCTCTAATTTAGATGAACATGGGATTCTTGTCTTGTGGTCCGTCTTAGAAATGATTAGCTGAATCCAAATCTCTGAACTTATAGTGACTTGACAAAAGTTTTTAAAGCATCCTCTAGTTTTCGTAGTTAACTCCTATCTACAGATTGCTGCCAGTGGCTGCTCATTCCCTTCTGCAGCTTTCCTTATCTCTTTATCGCATGTGTTTATTCATGTGCTTTGCCATCTTTCTTCCTGATCTCCGTCATAAGCTGACTTCAGTGCCTCCATATACAAATGTCGTATGTCTTGCTCAAAGAACAATAGTGTATATGTTTACTGTCACCAAATTATAGGATGTGGAAACCATGACAGTTTTTAAAAAATGACCACACTTCCCCACACACACACACACACACACACACACTGCATTTTTCTGAGATTTTTTGTTTCTGTTTTGCGATAGGTCTCACAATGTAGTTTAGACCAACCTTGAACTCATTGTGTACCCCAGGCTGGCCTCAAGCTCACTGTGATCCTCCTGTCTCAGCCTCCTAAATGCTGGGACTACAGGTGTGCACCACCACACCCAGCTCAATTTTTCGGAGTTTACTGTGTGATTAATTCTAGTCATTTTGTGTGTGTGCCTGTTAATTATTAATCTGAGTTTTACCAGAATGATCTTTAGTCTTTTTTCAAGAGAATATGCATTCCTAACTGTTCAGTACTCTAATATTGTACTTCTTATTTATGCGCGTCCACCCTGTGGTTGCAGCAGTTCTGCACACTAGAGCTTGCTACATGCCTAAAGTACTTATATGATTAAGTAGATCTTCTTACGACTTCGGATCTGAAGCAGTGATGATACACTCTGATTTATAGAGGTAGAAAAATCTAAACCCATATTATAATTTTCTCAGTTACAGTAGACCTCACATTTCCTTTCTATAAAATGAGAACATTCAGCTTAACAATATGAAGGTTTTTTAACTCTTAATATTATATGCAGTCCTCTTATTTAGGCTCATAGTAACTTTGAAAAACAAATGAAACAGATACAATTTCATAGGAAGAGTTAGGCAAGTTAGCTCAATTTACTGAATTAGGTACTGACAGGACTAATTTCCCACTACCTAATTTAGTGTACTTTGTACAGTTATTCTAATAGTCTTGAGTAATTGAACAGTCATGACCTAAAGTATCCTGTTTTCAATTTAAACAGATAAGAATTTATTTTAAATTGTTATGGGACCAAATAGGATTATAACATTAAACAGTACCTCAAAGTATCATTACCAGTGTCTTCAGCAGAGAAACTGAAAAAGTTAAAGCTCTTGAACAATCTATTTTCCACATTGTGATTTCCTGGAAAGCATTAGTGCTGGCTTTCTTTTCAAATCTTGAGTATGGTGTGTAGAAAGCCAAATGAATGACTGCTGCATTACACACCAGAAGAAATGTGCTTGAGAACAAAGCCAGTAGGAATTCTAATAGAGGTTTTGAGGTTTTTTTGTATTTTAGGGAAGGGTCTACAGGGTCCACAGGGTCTCACTACTAAATCAGACTTGTAATGATCCACCTGTTTACAGCTTCCCAAGAGCTGGGATTATAGGCGTGTGCCACCATGCTCAGTCTCAATTGCTGCTCAGCGTGCCCCAGGGGCAGGGCCAGCAAGGCAGACCCGGGGATTGAACCCCCAGCCCCTGTGCCTGCTTGCAGGCGCTTTAATCCACTGAGCTATTTGGCCAAAATAGAGCATTTTAAACAAGAGATGAAATCATAAATAGAAGTGTGTAAGAATAAGAAAGATTCCTTTTTTACTTTAATGCAGGTACCAAATATGGAATGATTCAAGAATTTGCATGTCAGCCTTGTCGGGGGCCATGCTTGTCTTCTCGTTATCATTCCAGTTTTAGTATATGTGCTGCTGAAGAAAGCACAGAAGGATTCTTCTATGTAAGCAGAACGTTAGGAAGATTTTCAGCTTGAGACTGAACAGGAAATGGTAATAATGAGAGTAGTAGATCTATAGTCTACTATCACGTTAAGACGGGTCTTTAAAATTTACTCAGACAAGTTTGAATTTCATGTTGAAGAAGTTTATTGTGGTGTTTAAGTGACATCAAGCAAGTAATGTTGTGGCAGGGAAATCAGACCTCATATGTAAGGTGAGTTGGAAAGGCAGGGACCGAGAGTGAGCGTTAGGAGGGACCACCGCAAGCAGGCCCATCCATTTCCACAGATACCACCTTCTAAAGCTGTTCTTCCTCTCAAGGCAGTGAGCACAAGAGGAGTGGAGAGTCGAAGAACATCCTTGATCTTGTTCTGTGGAGCTGGGGCCTGAACCCAGGAATGTGAGCACCGGAAAGCTCTTACCGGAGGACTGTAGACAGCTCATGTTCCCACTGCCCATGGGATAACTGGAAAGGGCCTGCAGTTTGTAGTTGGGGTTTGTTAAGAAACAAAAGTAGTAGCCAGCCAGGTAAAAGTATCCCGAGTACCTTTGCAGGGATTAACTAGATAAACTAGAATGCAAGGGAAAATGAATGTTCAGGTATATGAAAACATTTTACCTGAAAAAAACCCTGTTTCTTTCTCAATCCATTCTTTAGTGTTCCTTCATTATCTGTGCTGCTTTTTATGTTTGTTGTCTTACTTAAATTTAACACAATAGAACCATTTTGTAAGATACCTACCACAGAATGTGTTACCCCCCCATCATTCAATATTTATGAAGACAATTTCTGTAAGACAAATTGTGTGCTAAGAACAAATGTCAAGGGGCTGGTGAGATGGCTCAGTGGTCTAATGCACCTACTTAGAACAAGCTTAGCAAAGCACAGGGACCGCGGTTCAATCCCCAGCACCACATGCCAGCCAGCCCCGCCCCCTGGTGGGCTGATCTGGCCACACACACACACACACACACACGTAAATAAATTAAAAAAAAAAAGAAAGAACAAATGTCATTTCTTTGGCTTCCCATTGCCTACAATATCAAATTGAAATTCCTGGAGCATATAGTATTCTTCACACCCTATTCTCTACCTTCAGCCACATCTCTAATTCTCCACTCCCACTCTGTCCCTGTGGATCAGATCTTTTTTTGCCTTTATGTTTTTATACCACACTGATGTGCTCTGCTCAGCCATCACCCATTTCACAGAGCTTTCCTTAGCTACCATCTTCCCTACACATTGAGCTTCCTTCATCTTTGTTTGCATATGCATATTCCTATATGCAGGTATCGCATAATTTTATAGCTGATTGTATATTGCTTTCCTCTGACCAGCATGTGATGTCCTTGGGGGCAGTTGTATTCATTTATAAGTGCGTAATTGGGCAGTAATAGTAGCAGCAGTAGCAGCAGCAACAGCTATTGTTCTTAGTGTGTATGAGTTAAATTTTGGCAGATTTATACATGCATGTAACATTCTTGGATCATTTTCACCCCCTCATCGCTCTTCTTTCCCTTCACCCTTTACCACCTACCTGTTCCCTTCCTTTTCTCTGATAGCTCTTTTTATTTTCCCCTACTTTTCTCTATACACAGAATCTGTTACAACATTTATGTTGGTGTATTGGTTTTGTGCCATTGGACAAGAAAGCTGTTTTAAAGACTCATTACAGAAAACCCTTATTAAGTTGCAGAAATGTGTGTGGGGTTGATGTACTAATTCTTTCACTTCTGAAGGCAGCAGGGCACACATGTCATTAAGTGAAGGAAGCCTCTGATGAGCAAAGAGCTTGCCCATACTGCAGCAACAGATAAAAGTGCTTACAGATGTGAAAGCAAAACCCTTCAGGCTTTTTTCACTATCAGAGCTTGCAGTCCCCATCTCCAGGAAGCAAAATAGTAAACATTTCATTCCTTTTGTTTCGGTATTGTGATAATTTCAAGAAATTATCAAACAAGAAAAGAAATCCTGGAGAAGTTGAAAGACATGGACCAAAGCAGATGTTCCTGGAATCCTAGGGTCATATTTCTTAGGCAGAATGTGTTTGTTAGCTTTACAATGAATAATCTGTTGGCATATTTGAGGGGTTTTTTTCCCTGAGTAAATTAAAATTCATTTCCTGGGAAATGCCATTCGTGTTATCTTCCTGCTATTAAGCAGAATAGAGCTAATGAAAAGACAGTCTGCCCACAGTAGTGTTAGATTTTTATTTTTCTATGAGTTTGCCCCACTATTTTACAGCGGCTGTCATGGTATACTGGTCGGCTTCAATGGGCATAGTAAGTGGAAGGTACAGCCATGAATTACAGACCCGGGGAAGGCTCTGCTAGCCCATCTGTACCTTAAGGTACCTTACTCACTAAGTCAGTATCTCAGAGACTCATACTTGCTGTAAGCCGCCTATTCAGACAATCAAGTGAAAGCAGAAATTTGCACTTGAGGTGTCTCTGTACCCTCAAGAGTTACTGCCTACATTCTCACTGGTAGTTGAGGTTTCCTGATGAGAATTGGGAATTGAGAAAGGAGGGCTTGCAGTTTTCTGTTTTAAAACAGGCCCAAAGACCAGATTGTTTTCCATCCACAGTATGCCTGGGGATCCTTCCATCCTGCCCCAGTGCTAGACCTGTATTATGTCTTCCTTCTTCCCTGGTGTCAAATGCCTGATCCAGGATAATGGGTTTGCTTGTTGATGTGTGTTAGTATCAAATTTACTATAGCTTATGATGTATTTCATATCTTTCTGCCTCCCAAAGGAGTTTCTTGTTCATGAATAAAAGTTTGATGAGTTTCTCCTAGAAAACAATGTAAATATGAATGTGGCTCTGAGGACAACTTTACTGACTCCCTGTGGGGTAGAATTCCCAGTAATAATAGATTTAGCATGTGGGTTGATACCTTTTTAGTATCACAGGGACAGCATTGTTTAGAGAAAGCCTTGACTCCATTTGAATAGCTTGGAGGATGCCAGGAGGAAGGCCAAAGGAAAAGGAAACAGGAGAGCTATTGGTTTGTCTCACCCTTACATCAGATGACAGGAAGTAGGGGTTGAGATTGGCCACAGCAACCTGTTAAGGCCACATCTGTTTGTATAACTTAAAAGCCCTGTTGAAACCAAGTAAGTTAGAGTAAAGAATCCGAGGAAAGGATAGGGAAGAAAATGACAAGTAATAACTTGTAATGGTGGACAATCCTGCCAGGAATAAATTTCACCCTTGACTCTATATTCTTTACTTGATTGTACCCCTGGATGTAAATTGTATTAATTCAACTGAGGCAAATACTTACTGAAGTGCCACTAACTATAGTTGTTTTTCTGGCAGAGTTTCTTACAAGAATAATTTGGCTCTAATGATTAATTACAAAATCTAATAGGAAAGTCTTCCAGGACTGTTTTCTTACTTGTAGGAATGTGTATGTGTTTGTTAATTTGTCTTTGAAGTAGGGTAGGTTTTGGAGTATGGGTGTGTATTTCTGATGGAGTTATAGTTAGTCACAGATACTACCTTATTTCCAAGAAATTAAAAATAAATAAATCGACACTATTTTTGAGCTTTTCTCCAAAGGAAAAACAAATGGTACTTGTGGGCCAGACAGCTGTTTGTTAGGTGTGGTTTTTTGTTTGGTATTTTTATGTTGGACAGATGCATAGACATGAGAATTCTAGTTCCCATTCCAAATAGAGGCAAACAACTCTGTTTGCCAAATAAACTTAACAGCCATTTGGATGAAGGCATGTTGCAAGGGCAATAAATTTGATCCCTAGGGTAAATCTCTTTTATCTTGCCCTTGAGCCTGAGAGGCGAACAGAATTCCTAGTGTGTTCATGACTCTTCTGTCTCCACAGATACCACCTCCTCAAGCTCCTCCAGAAGTTTGGGAAGGTAAAGCAGTTTGACTTCCTCTTCCACAAGTCGGGTGCTTTGGAAGGACAGCCTCGAGGTTACTGTTTTGTTAACTTTGAAACTAAACAGGTAATTGAGTGTCTTCCCACTTTCATGGTACGTCCCACACCATCATGACTTTTTGTGTACCTCTGACTACGAGAGCACAAGTTGCTGTGGGCAGGAGCCATGTCTGCTGCTTCTCTGTGACTTCGACTGAATGCTGAAAGAGATGCTCAGCACGCAAGTTAATCAGTGAACAGCTCACAGAATCTTCTGTCCCTCTAAGCTCAAAAACCTAGCTTACTGCTCATTTGGATGCCCACCTCAAGCTTCTGGACACCCCTACCAGTCCTGTTTTGTCTCTGTAGTGGCTGGCAAGGAAAGCCTCCTTTTCTTTCAGTAGTTGTGCCCTGTGGTACAGAAGTCCTGCCTGTGGTGAGCCACCCACAAACTTGATTTCTTAAAAATGTATCCTTCTGGCCTAGGGCTATCTGTAGCTCAGTGATAAATGTTTGCCCAGTGCACACAACACCGTGGGTTCAGTCCCCAACACCAAATAAAAAAAGAAAAAAAAAGTACCCTTCTCAAATGCATACAGATTTTAAGGTTTCCACAAGAGAGTTTGGTTTCAGCATAACATTCATATATCTTATATCAAAATTTAGTTATTGAAGAAGAAATACATTGATGAAGAAATGCAATTTCAGTATTATTGATTATAGAGATGCATGCTGCTTAGTATACCATATTTTTATCATTTGAAGGAATATTATGTTGTTATTTTATTAATAACATATGGGGGGGCCAGAGAGATAGCTCAACGGCATAAGGAACCTGCCTGGCAAGCAGAAGGTCCCAAGTTTGATCCCTGGTACTGCAAAAAAATAAAGAATAAGAATAATAACATATGGATATTTCTCTTCTCACAAAAGTAATACTTGCTCATTGTGGATCAAAATAAAGATAACCAAAAAAATTTTTAAATCACTGAGCACAATGCAGAAAAAGAATTATGCAGTATTTTGTTGTATTTTTTTAAGTCTCTTCATATTCTCACACACATGGAAACACATGAACAGTTTATAATATACAAAAAGGATATCATTTTTATCATTCAAAGCATATTAAATTTTTTCTGTCATGTAGTACACATCAAGACATGGTAAATTGTGGTACTTGACTTTCTTGGTATGTTTGGGTATGTAGATGTGAATATGTGTACATAGAAGAACCCGGATCCATAGCTGAGATTAGTTCATTTTATAGATATGACTTAGAGTACAATTAAAAACTAATCAGTAGGGGCTGGGGAGATGGCTCAGTAGAACAAGTGCTTCCCTGGCAAGCGCAAGGGCCTGAGTTCAATCCCCAGTTCCGCCAAAAAAAAAAAACCAACTAATCAGTGTTTTTTGCTAACAAATGATATTTGAGTTTTCTTCAATGATTGACTAGTGTAAACATCAAGTCATGAGTATCTGTCTCTCACTGTATGTATTCTTTATTACATGTATGGAAGTGGATAGCATTATCAAAGGCCATGCATATTTTTTTCTTAAAATAGTTTCCAAAATGCCTTGAAGAAATGAGGTGTCCCTTATGTTCTGAAATCGTATGAGAGTGTCATTTGTCCTTAACAGTGGTGTGTGGTTTTGTTCTTTGTTTTGTTGTGGTGCTGAGGGTCAAACCCAAGGTCTTGCACATGCTAGACAGGTACCTTGCCACTGAGCTACATGCCCAGCCCTGAGCATGTTTTATTTTCTCTTTTATTTGTTAATACTATAGGTGATAAGTGATTTTTTTTTTTTTTTTAGTGATAAGTGATATTTTATTCATCCAATTGTGTGGGGTTTTTGAAGGAAACGAAATGATGCACATATGCTTAATATAATTAATACTTTATTCCTTAACGACAGAGTATTTTAAGGATTCATAAGGTTGCAGACAACCATAAGCAGTCATGTTGGGATCAGATGTTGATTTACAAGCACTGCACTGTCATAAAGCAAACTTTGTACATCTAACTTTTTGTTAAATTTGAACAAATCTCTTAATTTCTTTTGGCTTCAATTTTCATGTAAAAGTTGGACTCAGGAAGGGTCTTACCTTGTAAAAAGTTGGGAGCATATGTAAAGGTACGTATGAAATCACAGTTGGCAGTGTTTCAAAGATGGGAAATTGTTTTTTTAAGACACTTGTTCCCTACCTGCTCTTGTCTTGTTACTGCTGATACTTCAGAACTAACAGAGTGCCATCATGGAAATTCTAATTCACCAAGTGAAACATGAAAGAAAAATCACATCTCTTATCTAATGCTCTAACTTTATCTGCAGTAGTAAAGCAGAGATGACCACTGAGTAATCCAGTGCCTGACACAGCACGGGTATTGAATAGATACTTGTGACTGTCATGATGGTGAGCTCCAGCGAACCAGATGATCACCAGTAAAAGCAGACTGCAATGCTTTTTGTGTGTTACACCTTGATCTCAGATAGGCTCCCTGCCCTACAGGACTTCCTATTTCTCTTCTGTTCCTCAAGGACTTCTCCCCCACCCCCAAACACAGGTTATACTACTTGGCCAAATTCCTCTTTGATACAAAAAGGACAAAGAAGGTTTTTCAGGATGGAAAAGAACAGCCAGGCTTCCTGGGAGTGACCAAGAGTGACTATTTTCTAGCTGCAGGAATTCCTTTCAACCTTATTACTCCCGTATGTAATGGGGAAAGGGTCATGGAACTTGTGGCTTCAAAAACCAGGTGCACAGAGTGACTCACACAGACACTCTTGCCCACAGGCTGGCTCACTTACTCCTGCTTTTTCCACCCCGGTTTCTTTCACTCCTGGTCCTTGGACCAGGAAGAGTATGCCCTAGTTCCAGATACAGTTCTAGGGTCCCTGGGGGAGTATAATTTTTTCAGATGATAAGTGCCATCCCAACTAATGAAGGTGTGTAGCAAGGCATCACCTAATTAGAATGCTACTACTAGCTAACATTTATTGAGTGTTCCATGCTTTCCGCTTTCCATGAACTCTGCGTTCTTGCAGCTACTGAGGAACAAGTAGTAATATCTGTGTTTTACACGTGACAAAAGTAGAGACATTAAGTAACATATTGAATGTCTTACTGCCAATAGATGACAGCCAGGATGTAAGTTTTTATCTGAATGACTGCTTAAAACCCATACCTTTTTTGTTACTTTACCTTTTATAATTATAAGCTCTTTGCCAAGTAGTTTCCAAAAGCTATTTAGTTAGAGACTAAGCCATCAAAGTGGTGAGGTCCTGTGAGAATAAAAATAGTTACTTCAGCTTTTGAATTTTTGACTAACTAATCATTCCTCTCTGGACAGGAAGCAGAGCAAGCCATCCAGTGTCTCAATGGCAAACTGGCACTGTCTAAGAAGCTGGTGGTACGATGGGCACATGCCCAAATAAAGGTATGTCCCAGAGGCTAGAAGACACCGCCCACCTTATCCTGAATGAGCCTCTGAGAGACAGCTGCTCATTTCTCCATTGCATCCCAGCCTCTTCACATCTGGAGCTGCCATACTCTCGTCTCCTACTTGTATTTACCATGTGTGTTGCCAGATTTTTCTTTTGAGAAGCATCTCAGGAGGGATTAAGTTCCTTCATTGTTTCTCTCCATATGCCCACAGACCCTGCTTTTGATTGATTTTTCCATGTGGCTGATGTGTATACTCAGACCTCTATCTTTTTTTTTTTTCTTTTGGTGGGTAGTGTTCTTTGGAGGAAAAAATGTAGTATTTATTTTTAAGATTAGTTGCCGTAGGCATTATTAGACTCTTCCCAGCCTCTCTATGGAGAGTTGGAGTTTGTTTATTATTGTAAATGCTTGAGAAATGTGTAGTTTTCTATGACTTCTTACAGCACTGGCATCTCCTGAGTTCAGAGATCTTGAGAGTTATTAGAGTGTGGGTTTGTGGGACTTTGGAACGCCTTTACTGGCGCCAAGCCCTGAGAAATGGCACACTGCCCTCTCACCCTGTAATGGTCTGGTGGGGGAGCGCACTGACAAAGCTGCAGCCATTGAAGAGAGAGAGATACTCTGTTTCAGCTGGCACAGAGGTGGTGAAGAATGTGAGCTGGAGTAGTCCCCAGAGCAGATTGTCTTCTACAGTGGGTCTTCCCATACCTGCCTGCAGAAAGATTTGTGTCAAAGTTAGAACTTCGGCCTTTCACTGTATAAGCAGGGTTTTTGAACAGAGACAATGTATCTCTGATGAACAAGCTTCCCAATCAAGGGTCACAGAAACTAAACAGACATTTAAGTCCAGTGTCCAAACTGAAAAAGCCCATGTCAGATTCTTCTGAGCATTTCCAGTAATCATAGAGCCTTCTGAATTTCTAGGATACATTGCCTTAAGAGTAGAAACAAGAAGAAGAATTACCAAATGCTTTTGTTACTCAAAAGAAAATCAAGTCTCAGACTGGGCATGGTGGGTGGCGTATGCCTGTAATCCCAGTGCTTGGGAGGCTGAAAACAGGATGATCACCACAAGTTTGCTCTGTGTAGTGAGACCCTGTAGACCCTGTACTAAATGCAAAAAAAAAAAAAAAAAAAGAAGAAGAAGAAGAGGAAGAAAAAAGAAAATCAAGTCTCAGACTGGGCATGGTGGGTGGTGTATGCCTGTAATCCCAGTGCTTGGGAGGCTGAAAACAGGGTCACCACAAGTTTGCTCTGTGTAGTGAGACCCTGTAGACCCTGTACTAAATGCAAAAAAAAAAAAAAGAAGAAGAAGAAGAAGAAAGAAAATCAAGTCTCATTTGCCAAAATGGCTGTCATTTTCTTGTTCGGGGTCTCATTGAAAAGGCAAGAGAAAATGTCTTTCAGCTGAAGCAAAGGTTTCTAGTTACTCTTAATATTTTATTTGCTTAGGCCAGGGAAATGGCTCAGTGGAATAAGCGCCTCCCTTGCAAGCACAAGGACCTGAGTTCAATCCCCGGTTCTGCAAAAAAAAAAATATAAAAAAAAATATATATATATATATTTTATTTACTTTTTCAGTAGTGGCGTGTGATTATCTGACATCAAATTAAACTCTTCCATGATGTAATACCTTTATATCAGCAACAGAAAGCTAAATCTACTTTACTTCTGCACTAAGCTCTGTTAAGAATTGAGTATTAGCTTGGTACTTGGGAAAATCTTGCCAAGTTTTAAAGTGTTTTAGATAAAGCAAATCTTGTGACAGGCAATATGTGACAGTGAAAACAAGAATATAAGAGAGTAACCACTGCTGTGTATTTGGACCATTTGTGAATTTGAGTATTTCATTTCTTGCCCTGTCAACTAAGGAGGACTTTGATGGCGAGGTGGAAGCTTCTTAATCGACTTCCGCTAAAGCTACAACTTTTAGAGCAAAACCACAGTTTCATAATAATTTTACATGTACAGCCATCCTAAAATTGTCTAGAAATACACTCATGATAAAGTGGGTGAGTTTAGTTTCTGAACCTATATACACTGCAAAAAAGAGCCAGTTTCTGACCCAAGTAATCTCCCCACCTCTTTTTCTCTAGAGGTACGATCATAATAAGAATGATAAGATTCTTCCCATCAGTCTCGAACCATCTTCCAGCACTGAGCCCACACAGTCTAACCTAAGGTAAGACATTGTGACATGATAAAGTTATTCAAGAACTTGAGCCATTTCTTCATTCTACCTTCATTTATGCCAATGAATCTCTTTAATAGTGGTTCTTAATTTAGTATAGTTACTAATCTGACATGTTGAGAGATGTGTTTAGTAACCTCCAGAATGTAAACATTTCCTCTACTTCCATACTCCCAAGAGCATGTAAACCCTCCCCATTTATAGAATTCATTCACTTAGAAAAGGGTGGACTTCATTACCACACACCAAGCCTTCTACTGGACACTAGGGATACGAAGATAAGTCAGACACAGCCCTTACCCTGAAAACAAGTATTTTAATAAGGCCTTGGGTCCCTTTGGCATTTATACTGTTGATTCCTTCCCAACTATGAGTTTTCTTACATAAAATTTTAGCTTACAGATACTTAATTCTGTATACCATTGCAGCAACTGTTGATAGTTTTGGCTCTAGCTTGTATGAATTGTCAGTTACTTCTTTGGAGTTAATTCAAAACAGGGACCCTAAGGGTTGTGTAGAGAAAGAGGAAGTGAAGTGGGTGGGTAGTTGAGCAGAAGGAAGAAGGGGGAGATTTTTCTTTGGGTGAGTTTTTTTTGTCTGTTTTTTGTTTTTGAGATTAGGGTCTCACTATGTAGCCCAGGCTGGCCTCCAACTCACAGCAATCCTGCTTCAACCTCCTAAGCACTGGGATTACAGGCATGTGACATCACACCTGGCAGATGACTGGGTTTATACTTGATGGTCTCTGTGTTACAGTGAACAAGTATTTATTTTGATGAGCTTCTGCCACTTGTTTACCAGGTATCCTAGTGTTTCCCCATCTATTTCTTAATCCAGAGAATTTAAGCTTATGTCCTTCTGTTGACATTGTGTCTAAAGAAGGTTGTTCACCCATGACTCATGCAGAATGGAGGGCTGGCTATCTTGTTAATAAAAGAGTACCAAAATATATCCTAGGAATACCTCAGTATTCTTTTTGTTGTAAGGTAAAGGTTTTTAAGAAGTGTTTAATGGACACATGAACATTACATATATATTTATGAGGTGCTCTGTGATGTTTCAACATGTGTATATCATGCGATACTGAAATTAGGGTAACCATAGCTTTCTCCTCATTTAGTCATTTCTTTATGGTGATTTAATGGTTAATTTCTTGCCCATGAAAATATGTAGCTGTGTGCAGCAGCAGATGTGTAGCCTTTGAGAATCTCTAGAAGATGATCATATATTCATGTCCAAGGTTCTCTCACTAGCTGTTGACCACTGTCTGCATTAAGAAAGGAAAGTAAAGATGTCTGGGCCCCAAATTCCCACCGTGTGAGTGCATTCAGCTCCAGGGATAGAAGTGAAGCAAATTCTTCCTCACCTCCGCAGCCTCTCCCCACTCTGCCTGTGTGCTTCTGTCTGGTCAACTCCCATTCTGGTAGAAAAAGAAAACAGGTTTTGACAATAACTAAATTGGGGTTGAACTGCAGCTCTGCAGTGTGTTAGCTGTGTGACCTCGAGTGTATTACTGCATTGGCATTTGTTTCTCTACCATGCAGTGTAGGGTGGTAACCTTTGTAGGGTTATTGCAACGAGTAAAAGTAATGTAAGTAAAATGCTGGGTATTGTACCTGGGTCATTATAAGTAGCACACATTTGTCAATAAAATATGGCTCTGTGGGATTTCCAGAATGTCTTTTATTATTTAGTGACTCAAAAAGTAGTCCAGTGAGATGGTTAATAATAGCATGGCAGGGGCTGGGGAGATGGCTCAGCAGAATAAGTACTAACCTGGCAAGTGCAGGGGCCTGAGTTCAATCCCCTGTTCTGCAAAAAAAGCAAAAAATAATAGCATGGCCTTCAGTCAGTTTGTATTTAAATCTTAGCTTTATCATTAACCAGCAATTTAATGTGGGGGCACATTAACCTTTCTCTGCCTCAATTTCTTTATCTGCAAATAAGAAATGTACAAGTGAATATTCAGGGTTTTTTTTTTGGGGGGGGGGGCATGGGGGGCTGGCTCAGCCCATGCTGTACCAGCCTCAGAACCCCCGGCGTGCAGTGTCCGGCCTCAAAACCAGATGAGGTACACGCCTCTAGTCCCAGCACTGAGGAGGCTGACAAAGGGGGATGGATAAGAGTCCAAGCTACATAGCAAGACCTTTTATCCAATAAATAAATAAATAAAATGTAAAAAAAAAAAGAAAAAACTTTAGTGCAGTAAAAGACACATTGCTGAGAATGATGGGGTATGTTCAAACAAAGGGGTAGTACTTGGGAATTAATGGCCATGTGTTTTCTTGTAATAAAAATTTTTAAACATTCACCATATTTTAAAATCCCCCTTAATAGGGGTGGTAAGATAACTCAGTGGACTAAACTCCTGCTTAGGCAAGTGCAGGGACTGGGGGTTCAATCCCTGGCGCCACATGCCACACCAGCCCCATCCTTGGGTGTGCTGAGTTGGCCACCAAGAACGGGCATGGTGGCGCATACCTGTAATCCCAGTACTGGGGAGACTGAAGCAGGGGGATCACTACAAGTTCAAGCTGCATAGTGAGACCTATGCCAAATACATATTTTAAAAAAGTAAATAAATAAATCACCCTTTATTGATCAAATTTTTACAGCAATTTCTATCAAGTAATAAGTGTGTTGTAATCCACCTTATTTTCTGGGTCTGTTTCCATGCAACTTTTCACTCTTCCCCAAAGTGAATGACCATGAAAAGTAAACATTTTAAATCGATTCAGGACAGTGAGGCAGTCATGACAGTACAACTAAAAACATCCAAGAGAGACAACTTCCAGAACTGTTGCAGAAAAGTGGCAAAAATTATGTGATACTTGAAGTGATTGAGGGTACTGTGGTGGAGATTAATGGCAGTGTATCCTTTACTGTAATAAATTTTTTAATACCATATTTTTTAATCACACCATGTCACAACATGCCCTGTGATGTCACTTTTCAGTCCTGTCTTTGAGTGCCTATTCTGCCAGCACTAAGTAGTATGTGTATCTAGTTAGATACAGTGATATGTGAAGTACTTCTAACCAGTGCTGAGGCTTATCTGAAAAACTGAATAGGTGGCTCAGCCTTGATCTCTTTCTTGAAAAGAGAGCAGTTTTTTGGTCTCTGATATGAAAAGTTTACCTGTTGTTTAATATCTTGTAGCTTCTCTAACATGTAAGAGGCACAAGAAGATGAAATGTCCTGTATTTTCCAAATGCACCTGGATTCATTCTCATTCTCTGCTGTCCTTTTTCCAGTGTCACTGCAAAGATAAAAGCCATTGAAGCAAAGCTGAAAATGATGGCAGAAAATCCTGATGCAGAATACCCAGCAGCACCTGTTTATTCCTACTTCAAACCACCAGATAAAAAAAGGACTACCCCTTATTCTAGAACAGCATGGAAATCTCGAAGATGATGGTTGTGAATTAGCGTAACAGCAAAAGCAAATTGATCTCTACACCTGACCTCTTCTGCCTTTGTACTTTGTAGATGTGAATGGTACTATCCAACAGAGCACAATCACATGTTAGTTTGGTAACATAACGTTTTTGGATGTTCTTATGAGTGTGTCTTCTCTGAACTATGTGTGGAATTGAGCAGCATCCAGAATAAATAGAATTGTGTCCAAAATTGTGATTTGAACACTGAGTTGCTCTAGTTGGCTGGTCTGTATGAATTTGGAACTCCAGAAACTATATAATGTGCCAGACAGAAAGGCAAATGTACAAATGTTATTATTCAAATCAGAAAGCTAAATCGATTGACATCTATTAAAAAAACAGCATTTTTCTTGCACATGTCTTTACAACATGAAAAAAAGAAGTGAGATGCAGATTTCCAGTCGTGTTTAGAACTGCTGTTGGAGAATTTACTATGGAGCTCTCTCCATCTGGACTAAAAAATAGAATTCTTGGCAAAAGAGAGCTGATCCTTTGAGCAAATGTAGTAATCTGCTTAAGAATTATGCTTATTGTTTCAAAACCCCAATTAGGAAAACCTGGTGTATATCTTAAATTTGTTTGTGTCGACAAACTGTAGAATCAATTTAGTGTTTTATACCGTAACAGAACTTTTGTTGGGCAATTTAACTTTTATTCTATAGCAATCATTTTTAAAAATCTGAATAATCTTGCCTTCTATAATAACCAAATGTTGTTATTTACACAATACTTTTAAAATTGCACTTACTGCATGAGATTGTTTTTATAGCATGAGATTGTTCTATTTGGAGTTGTATAAATGATCAAACTTAAAAATAGCAAAATTTTAAACTTAAATATTGCTACATTGGTCACTGTCATACCTATTTACTTTGTGGTAGTCATGTGGGGATTTGGTAGGAGAAGTTGAGTAATCTTGTGCAGGATGAGAAGGGCACAGGCACCAGGAGCAGAAAGTCAGTGGAGCTGGCACCAAGATTGTAGTCGCCTCATACTTTACGTACTCCAGTGGTGGCAAACCTTTCAGAGTGTTCAATGATCAAGAGCCAGGTGCGGCACAGGTTCACCACCACTGATGTAGTTTCAAAAGACTGCATGCCTTGCAAATGACCCTTCATGCATAGGACATTGTTCTTCCTAGATACTTTTGGCACTCTGAACATTTTTAAGTACGACAGTAGAGAGCAGTATATAAATTGACATTTGGGGATGTGTTTCTTTAACAGTTTGGGCCATGTTGGTGCCAGCCTTGACAGACCATTTCATTGGGCAGCTCCATTGCTGCTTTAGTAGGCAAATCACTTTGTTACTTACTCCATGTGCCACTCCCGGTGATTAGACAGTATTTACCACTCTCAGTTCTAGCAAGAGGATACTTTCCTGATAGGAATTTAAGTCTTCCTGCTGGTATAAGTGAAGTTAAAACACTTGAATCAAAATTTTAGCATAATGAGGTTTTAGAATGCCCAGAACTGGTTCAGAGATTTTCGTAATCTTTTACCCAAGCTCAGTCTTTTTAGCTATCCAAATAGTCTGCTTTTATTAGCTATGTCTGTCTACGATGCAAGTAACTCTCTTCCCATTTTTGAGATAGTTCAGGGAGGTGGGAGTGCTGCCTCCCATTTTTCTGGTGACTTTGGAGTATAGAACTCACCATTGTATCCTTAAGTCCTCAAGGGATTGTGGTGAAGTAGAATTCAATGCAGATAGCCTTCTATTTTTAGTAGGAATTTAGAAAACACGCAGAACTATGTAGGGTTGTTTTGTTTAGAACCTAGAACTATTTATTTGTACTTAAAGCAATGGTTTTTTATTTGTACCAATTCTTATCCCTACATATGAATAAATGCAAGACTGTGTGTGCGCGTGTGTGGTTGTATCTTATCCAATCATTGGAATAAACAGTGTTTCTCCACGGACTCAGGCTGGGGGTCCAGTAGGGCATTGCCTCCAAGTGCCTTCCTTGCAGCGGAATCAGACTAGAGAATCCACCGGCAAGGCAATTCTCTTCACTCTTTTGCCTGCCTCCCTCTGGGAGAGATGAGGAAAAGAACTAGTTCTTCTTGCAAGTGTAACTGTGTGAAAAGACGTTAATAAAAGTCTCTGCGAGACTCATGCCATATTTATAATTTTCAAGAAGTTTCAAAAGAGTAAGTGTGTGTATCCAAAATATACTGAAAGCAGTCTGGTGAAGAGCTTGTGAAATACAAGTGTTAACTTGGTCCACTATTAAGAGCTTACAAGGGCCAGGGAGATGGCTCAGTGGAATAAGCGCTTCCCTGTCAAGCACCAGGGCCTGAGTTCAATCCCCGGTTCCCCTCCCCCCCCCCCCGCAAAAAAAAGAGCTTACAGTATCTGTAAGTAAAATTACTTGGTTTACTGTTTTTTTTTTTCTAGTCTTAATCATTTTGATTTATAGAAGCGTGAAGGATTAAAAGAAATAATCAGGTGAAAGGTACTATCTTAATCTCAGCTCCTGTCTTATCAAATGTAAAACACAAACCTAACCACATGGATTTCTGTAGTTGGCATCTTAGCTTTGGGGAAGAGGTTCCTGTAAAGATAGATTTCTTGTCTAGGGAGATAGCTCAGTGGTCTAATTGCCTGGCAAGCACAAGGTCCTGAATTCGATCCCCAGTCCCATGCCATGCCAACCCAAAAATCAGGAGTGGTCGCACAGGCCGATAATCCCAGTCCTAGAGAAGCTGAGACAGGGGAATGGCTAGGAGTCCAAACTGTGTAGTGAAACCCTGTATCACACTAAATTTTTAAAAAGATTTCTTAAATGTCATAAATCAACCCCAGTTATGTCAAACTAATTTTCTACAGCCCTTGTCTCTTAAGGTAATGCAGTAATTTCCAAGTCAGTAAGTATATCTGATTTTTATACTATTATATAAAAGCATCAATTCTTGCCTTATAAGTTAAGTGGACCCACTGGATTCCTAAAATATGATTTGATTCCAAAAATGAATGCATCTTCAACTTTGTTTTCTGGTCCTATCTGGTACTGAACGAACGCCATCAGTTTTACCTTCAGATCATACCCCTCTCCACATCCAACACTCAGTGTTACCCAGGGCTCCATCATCTTTTACATGGCCTGCGACAGTGCCTTCCTAATTACCTGCCACCTCTACTGTTCTCCTTACAGTCAGCTTTCCACATAGAAGCTAGAGCGATTCTTCTAAAATGTCTCGGTACTTCTCTGGTCCCAGCTACTCCAGGAGCTGAGGGAGGAAAATCCCCTAAACCCAGATTTTGTGGCCATCTTAGGCAACATAGCCAGATCTGACTTATTTAAAAAGAGTCTGGTGGTGGTGGCACACATCAGTAATCCCAACTATTAAGAAGGCTGAAGTGGAAGGATCGAAAGTTTCATGACCAGCCTTAGCAATTTAGCAAGGTGCTGTCTCAGAATAAATCTCTGGATATATTGTAGCGCTCCCTGGATTCAATCCCAAGTACCACAAAAAATTAATTTTAAAATGTCACTTTCTTAATGACTTTCCGTAACACCTGTAATTAAAGACCTACAGTTAAAGACTTACAAGGCCCTTAGTGACCACCCATCTGATGCACTGGGCTCCAGCCACACTGGCTGCCTTCCGGTTCCTGGAATCAAGGAAGTGCCTGCCTCAAGGCACTCGGCCAGAACACTAGCCACAGAGCCCACTTATTTTAATTCACATTTCTATTCAAATGTTAGTGATTAAGATGTCCCTGCCTTCCCTTTTTAAATTATAGTTTCTTCACACTCCTTGCCTCTTGCAATTCTAAGTGAAATTTATCACTACCCAACATTATATATAAACTGATTTTGTCCCTTTTCGTTAGAATGTAAATTGAATATAAGTGATAACTATATTGTTGTATCACCAGTATTTATTTATTTATTTATTTTGTATCAGAATTTAAAACACTGCCTGGTATGTAAAACATATTGCATAAATACTTGCTGGATGAAATATTAGAATTCAGGCCAACTAGATAGCTCGGTGGTCTAAAGCACCTGCTTAGGCAGGCTTACGCACAGGGGACCCTAGTTCAATCCCTGGCACCACATGCTGTGCCAGCCTCACCCTCAGGGCAGGCTGAGCTGGCAGAAAAAAAAAAGTTCATGAAATATCAGAATTCTACAACTTAGGAGTTCAAGGGTCTTGTGAGACCACCCTAACATAGCCCCTTGTTGTAAAGATGGGAGCAATGAAAACCCAGGCAAAACAAAATAGTTTGGCCAGGACTGTGTGGTTAGTGGGTGTTACGGTTTCAGTGTGTCCCTCAGTGGTTCATATATTGGAAATTCATTCTCTATTGTGAAGTATTAAAGAGTATGAGGATTGAAACCTAAACACTATGATGTTTGCTGGTAGTAAAAGGGACTAGGACTAGATAAAATCATCCAGGTAGAATCCCCATGATTTACACTGTGGCTTTGTGGAAGAGGAAGAGACCAGAGGCCAGGCATACATGTGTTCATTACCTGATGGCTGTGTGATGCCTTAGAACTCTGCCAGCAGGGAGGTCATCACTAGATGCAGCCCCTCAACTTTAGGTGCACCTCCAACACTGTGAATCTCAATAAACCTCTTTTCTTTATAAATAGCCTTCTTCAGGCATTTTGTTTCAAAAAACTAACATAATGCCCAGTGAGATAGCTCAGCGGTCTAAAGCACCTGCTGAGGCAAGCTTAGGCAAGCATGCAAGGACTGTGGTTTGATTCCCTGGCACCACATGGTGTGCCAGCCCCACCCACAGGATGGGCTGAGCCAGTCCCCCCCCAAAAAAAAAAAAATCATGAATGAATTTTAGGTAGAAGCCACGCCTATAAACACCTATGCATACAAACACCCATTCAGTGTAGGTTGCTTTAGCAGACTGACCTGTGCTATCTCTTTCTGTGCGGTCTACAAGCAAAGAATGCTTTTTACATTTGTTAGTGGTTGCAGAAAAAAAGTCAAAAGAATATTTTGTGACATGAAAATAATAGGAAATTCAAATTGCAGAGTCCATAAATTAGGAAGTTTTATTAGAACTCAGGCCCATAGAGCTGGTGAAATAGCTCAGTGGACTAAGCACCTGCTTTGGCAAGCACATGGACCAGGGTTCAATCCCTGGTCCTTCATGCTGTGTCATCCCCATCCCCCAGGGCACACTGATCTGGTGACAGAGTCCAGGCATGGTGGCGCATGCCTGTAATCCCAGCACTGGGGAGGCTGAGAACAGAAGGATCACCATGAGTCAAATCTGTATGGTGGGACCCTGTACCAAATACACAAATTTAAAAAAAGAAAGAACACGGACGGGCCCATGCATTCACATGTCTACAATTGTTTTCTCACTATAATAACATATTTGAGTAGTTACATAAAGAACTATACAGCTCACAAAGCCTAAAATACATACTTTCTGTCTCTACAAAGTTAGATAAGCCCTGCTCTAAAGTATTCCAGTACTGGAAATGTCTTTTTAAGACTTAGTGGTATCAAAAATTCTAACATTATTGCAGAAAATAAAAGCAACAGCAAGGTAGCAGAATGATGCATGCGCATGATTAGTTTCTTACTCATGCCTCTGACCCTTTGTACATATTTTGGGATGAGAAATTTACTATCCCACCATAGTAGCTGCACTACTGTAACAGGTCTCAAGTCCCTTCATTGTCTGTTACAGTTTGGGCCAAAAATGTCCCCCAAAAGGTTCCTGTTTTCAGAGGTGGAGCTTTTAGAAGGTGATTATATCATGAGGAAGCTAAACTTGGGTGGATTAACCCATTGACATTTCATAGTTGAATGGGCTGTTAGCAGGTGGCACCCAGTGGGAAAAAAAAGTAGGTCACCAAAGGTGTAACTGGAAAGGCACATCTTGCCCTGGCTCTGCCCACTCTCTGCTGCCCCATGGCCTTGCCTTACACCCAGAAACAGTAGACTGGGCCAAAAACGTGAGCCAAAATAAAACTTCCCTCTCTTAAAGTGTTTTTAACAGGTATTTTGTCACGACCATGGGGACCTGATTAACATGTTATTAATGCAAGGAATCCAGACCCAGAAGAACTTTGGCATCTGACATACCCAAATTGGACTTCTAACCCCCGTATGTGAGCAATCAGTCAGGGTTCTTTCAGTCCCTGTCCAACTGCCTCATGACAGAAATTGTATTGGCTCTTGTAACTGAAACGTCCAGGTGTTCCAATGACCTGGCCAGGGATCTCTCTCTTGATTGTGTTTTCCTCTGAGTTGGTCTCATTCTCAGGGAGGCTGTCTGGTGAGAGATTTGAATCCCAGATTAAAACAAACAAAAAAAAGTATAGGAATCTACCCCAGGATGTGAGGCTCTGTCTTTCCTCTGCATTCAGTCTTGCTCAGCTAGGATTACTGATTATACGGAATGGCATTTTATTTTGAATGTGCCCTGTGACCTTCTTAAGCTAAAAAATAGCTTAAAATTTAGCCTTCCTGTCTTGAAAACAGACCTCTCCTATTTGAGTTTTCTTGTGGGTGATCTCGCCAGGAGGAAATTTACCCATCCTTCAAACATAGAGTGGGCATCAGCCATGTGCCAAGCATGGAGGGTGCAAAGATGAAGCACAGTGCCCCCACTGGCATGTGTCATGATAGAGGAAAGACTCAGGAGCTACAGGGGACCAGAAGACAGACACCTAATCCAGCTGGGGACAGCAGGTGAGGGTATAGATGATTTCCCATGGGAAATAACATCTGCACTGAGCACTGAAACATGTTAAAACATAAGCCAGGTCCAGGATTTGAGATGAGCGCTGGAAGAACAGAACCCTAGAGTAAGAGAGTTTGAGATTGAATTCTAAGAGGAATTGCAACACTCTTGAAACTTATACCATTGGGTAAAA